GAAATATCTCTCTAAAACTACACAAAGGCCGGCCACCTTAGGGGTGTTTTTACTAACACATCTTTCACCCTTTTGGTTATTCCTTCATCCTTCTCACTACACTAGTGGGTGAGGATCTTTAGAGGTTTCCTACTTTGGAAACTTGAAGAGAACCTAGGAGCACTCATTCTATCAAAGTGGAGGAGGCAAGGAGGGAAGCTAGGCTCAAGGAGTTCAAGGAACAAAGGGCTTGGTCTCAAGTCTAGATCAAGAGGTATAAGACTAAACCTTGGTCCATCATTGGTCTCAAGTCTAGATCAAGAGGTATAAGACTAAACCTTCACTTTGTTCTTTTCTTTAAGTTAAATATTTTGATGCATTATATATAAACCTATGAACCTTGAAGGGGATTTGCATGACTATAGCTTTGATATTATGTGTTAAATGCTTCCGCTGTTTTCGTATATAAAATTTGATTTGTATATGTATGATAGTATTTTTCGAAATCCCATATGAAAACTCATTATTTTCCCTTCAAATAGATTATTCCTCGGCGGCAAATGCTGGGCAAGATCGAAAATTCTACCATCGCTGACCTTACTAACCAGTATTTCGAGTAATCTGGTTTGTGCTTCACTGGAATTGCGTATCACGTCATGAAGCTTATCGATTCCTCGACTCAATGTCTGTTCAACTGTCCGAGATTGCTCGTCAAGCCGTTTTCGAAGAAACGACCTTGTGGGTGGATCGGATCCTTCGCCACCATCTTCATCACAATCTTCTATTACTCCTTCATTGAGAACGCAAGTGTTCCTGTCGGGAATTTCAAGACTGCGAACCTGACCGTCGAGATTAACTTCTCTCTCTCGGCGAGTTGCGCTCGTGGACTCAGGTGTCACGGCGCTGATGGGATTCTGCGCTTGTGGCACATGGTGTCCTGCGTTCTGATTTGGTAGATCGGCTGTCGACTTTCCCATAGTTGTTTTCTTTTTACCGATCGTGTTTCAATTGGCATGAACTTCGTAGTCTAGCACTGGGTCCCACTGGACGTGCCAAAATGTTGGTCCTAGAAACTACCAAGCCTACGTGGCGCGCAGGCTGAGTAATCTATAAGCTAACTACGTCCTTCGGTAAATGCGGGGCGTGCCAACTCGGCCGAGCTCGGCCGAGGAGTAAATTTTGTTAATGTTGCGTTGGGTGCGCGGCTGACTTCTGCGTCTTGCGATTGCGGCCGAGAAAGGAACACGTCTCGGTCTCTTGGGCTCTCGAACCTGAAGACAAGGTTACTATTCTTACGAAGTTCAATATCAAATTCGGCTCTCAATGTGCCGAATGTAATAACTGTAACACCTCACTTTGCCGAGAAGGCTGATGAGATGACCTCGACCAATAAGGATTCAAAAATCCTTCTCGACCGAGACTTGGATAGGTAATCAACCGTCCTCGCCGTAGTGCTGTTGATGCCAACGGAAGATGCTGTGAGACCGGCTGATTCTACGGTGACAAAGCTATCTATGCCAACTTAAGATATCACCGGTTGCTTTCACAGTGCTGTTGATGCCAACGGAAGATGTGTCAGCGAAAAAGAAAGAAAAAATCTCAAGTTGTTGAGTTTGCGCAGGGCAGTTTTGTATTGATTTGCAGGGGCTTAAATGATGCGCAGCCTCTTCTATTTATAGCAACGGCTCCCCCCAAGGTCGAGTTAAAAACCTACTCGGACTAGGTCTTCTTCTCCTGATCATCACCAACTCGACCAGTCCTACTTTCACTAGGACTGTGAACCTAGTCCTTAACCGAGCCGGATTCGTTTCCTGGTCCTGCCGAGACTGCTCATTGCACTAGGACTCGACTTCTTGCGTTATGACCTAGCCGACCTAGGTTTGGAGACCCACGTATTGAACGATCCATGGTATTCTTGTCGCAAGGCCTTCCGGGCCGAGAATGATTCTATACTCGGGCCAAACTATTATTTTGGGCCCAAACAAAAACTATACAGAGTTTACAGTAAGACTATGTTATGAAAAGTAAAGGGTTTAATAAATCCTTATTTTTGCTCACTCACTTTCTGTTTTGCACCCTTCTATGACTTAGTAGTAGGATTATGTGGCGAGCGAGGGATCATTGGCAGGTTTTGACCTTCACTTTTGATAATGTAAAAATTATATTTCTCAGAGAAGAATTTATTTCTAGTATTCATTATTTGATCAACTTCCTTTCTTATTCCTAGTATTCATTATTTCATTTCTCAGATAAGAATTTATTTGATCAAAGAAATAAAAAACCAAAGTTCTATCCACAGTCCACCACCTCCGCCACCACAACAGCCCTAGGACAAAAGGGAACGCCTGTGAATGCACCAGCTCTTGAGTTGCCGCCGACCATCTTTGTTGAAGTAAGAGTGGGATAAAGAGAAGGAAAAGGAGAAAGATTAGTAAGATAGAGTCGCTGATAAAATCCACGACTGGCGATGGAGGTGGATGGTTGCTCTGTGATGGGAGCTCGGTGTCAATGGCGTGGATGGGGGGTGGGGGGCAGGGATGGTTTTTCCGATTTCTGTTAGCAGTAGGTTGGGGATAAATTAGGAAGTTTAATTAAAAAAAGCTTGTCATATTAACATCCCACATACTTAATACACCTCACATTTTGTTTTTTAATTAAAATGTATCTTAATACACCCCACATCATTTCCTATAGTACCCTCACACCCCAACTCTCAACATACACCTTAAATTTCCTACCTACACCTCACATTTTCTGCCACCCTATACTCTTTACATCTTAGGTGCAAATACATAAAGTCAACCAAATATCTTATTTGTTTCTTCGAATAGGTGGTTTCTAAGTTGTTTTTCCTCCTTGTCAAATAATAAAGATAAAGATTTGAGAATCAGCATTAATGGAAAGAAAAAAAAAATTGAAAATCCATCAGTTTGTGGCAAAAAGGGATTTAGAAATGCATAGCATAATGGTTCTGCATTAACTTGATGAATACTATTTTTGGATTGCTTCAAACTTTTCCAAAAGGTAGCCTACTCTTTGATAATGAAAAAACCATAAAATTCGGCAAAAAGTTACATAAAAACTACTATGATATTCAGCATGAGCTTGCCTAAACCTTTAAAATTTGCTACTTGCCTCCATTGCTTCACAAAATTCTAATCACATCAGAAGAAATAAAACATTAATATTAGTTTCGTCCCGTCTCATTAAAACTTAATTACCGTAAAAACCACTAATAAAATAAAGCAATATAAAAGATTGTTGTTGTATGAAACATTATGCGGTGCTTAAAAGGTTTGAAAGAAAGTAAGCCCAAACTAACCTTAAAAATCTGCAAATTGACAATTGTATGCTATTTATATAAGTCTAATAAGAACAATGTTTTTGGTATGATTCTTGTCACAAAGCTACGGGTTTTTGGCGAATAAGCTAGCATGTCTCATTGCCAAACTTGAGACATCAATTTAACACGGTAAAGTGTTACATGTAACGGGCGGAAGGTGAGAGTTGTTTTGAGAGTTGAAGAAGATAAATAATCTTATGATATACATGCTACAAGTGATTTGAGGTTTATGTAGAGTTTATTTATTTAATTTTAAAACCTTATAAGGTCGAAATTGTCATTCCATTTTAAGGTATACAACTCATTTAATATTAAATTTTAAAGAGGAATGTATTCAACATATTGTAGAGAACACCATAAAAAGAACATATTTCAAGCCTTCATTTGTGGGGAACACCAACTCACCTAGTGTTCCCGGAACCTAGAAAAATTTCTCCCATCCTACCTAGGATGTAAATATTCTTACTTTTATTGCATTTTTATCTATGCTTTTGACACTACATGCATTTGTAAGAAGGATTCTTCCCGTACTGCATCCCATATTGCATACTCTCACTTCTAGATTAAATTAGTTCTAGACTTTCGTTTTAATTTATTTGTATTTTTACATATCATTTGCATATTATGGATTTGTCATTTTTCAGGTGTTTACCATCATGCCTTGATTTTGATGCCCACTTGGATATCCAGGTCGAGATGTGTCAGTACCCATTTTTGGGTTTGAAGAATTTAGCAAATGTTTTAGGAAAATGTTATTGACATTCCAAAAATCTCATTTTATACTCTTCACAAGTGTATTTTTCTTTCCAAATATAAAAAGTTTGGAGTGTAGAATGAGATTTTTGGAGTGCTAATAACAATTCCCATGTTTTATGATACAATTATTTTTTGGTTAATTTTGATGTATCCATGTTTATATATATATATATATATATGTGTGTGCGCGCGCGCGCGCATACTTTTTATGACAAAACATAATTTTTTTATTTTGAATTTTCTTTTAGGCCACAAAAATATTTACACTAGTGATGAAAAAATAAATTGATATCAAACTTGTTATTCACGAGATTAAAACCTAAAACTATCACTTATAAATATATAAAGATAAGTCGAACCATATACTCTTAAGAGTAATCTAACTCATTGGTCTCGTATTCTTAACCATTTGAAAAAAAAAAAAAAAAAGGTGTAAAATGGTTGAAAGCAAGATGCAGTCCATTAATTAGTTAAATTACATTTATATTGTCTAGCAGTAATGTCAATGTGTGATCATATAATGGGTGACTACCCTAATAAAAAAATATGTGTCATCATATCAAAGCAAGATGGAAACAAAAATGTCATCCTTGCTTCATCATTGCCATATATATTGAAATCAATTTGTATCAATTATAAGTTCGTTTTCAATCATATAATCTTTTGACTTTTAAGGAAGCACTTCCAAAGAATAAGCCATGAGATCGGACCTTCGTCGGTATGGAAATAGATAACTTCAATTTCTACATCAACCTGATTTTCCTAATAATTCTTTATATCTTGGTAAACCACTAATCGTTTTACTATTCGCAAATAATGGAGATAGCCAACCCGTTTGGTTTAGCGGGACTCAGTCTCCACTCTGTTGGAGGAGGTCCGCGTTCATATCTCATGAACGAGAACTATAGAATAAAAGAACAACTAATGAAGATAAACTCATAATCTACATGTACGAAATTCAATGGGGGAGTATTTTACACAAAATTAATTGATCTTTAATTTACAACTTATGACGAATGAGTTCCTCGTAAATTCAGTAAGTAAGCATTGGACCAACGTGCGATGACATGAAGATGGCTGAAACACCTCAAACTTCACATGCTACGGAGGTACTTCGATGTAACTCAACCTGGAAGATGTTTACCCAAAAAAAAAAAAAAGATTTTTAATTTACAACTCATGGTGAGCGAGTTCCTAATATCAATTTAACTAGTGAGCATGCGACTGATAGGCGGTGGCATGACGATGGTTGAACACTTCAATCTCTGGAGATGTTTGAAGCAGAACTTCTTCGGAGTACCTCATTCTTTGTACATTCCTCCTGAATGTTTAAAGATCTATATCAGTAATTTCGGGGGAGCTTGGAGTACTGATTAGATATATTTTGGCAAGAGCCAGGACAATGACCACCAATTCTCGCCAAACTGCTAAACAACACGCTTACATCTGTGTAGTAGTGGCCAATGAAAGTGACAATGCTAGGAAATTATAATTACCTAGATACTGCGTATTACATTACAAGACTAGCATACACAACATTCTCTGAACTAGCAATGAACTAAGTGTCGCAAACGCTAACTGTTAACTGTGATGTCATGATTACAATGCTTACCTGAAGAGCTTTTAAGAGTGAATAACAGTGCCTTTGCTCTGCACTTGCTGCAAAATACTTTTCCTTGAGAGCATCACAAACTTTTTGCTCTTCTTGAAGCCCAAGTTGTACCTTTCGAAGTTTCTGCAAGATAGATTTACTAGCAACCTTCAGAATAACTTGAAGCATCGGAGAAAAAGTATGCACAGAAGTTGAACATGAGTTCAGGATAAAGAAAATGACGTATTCGGTGCGTGCAATGTTGAATTCTTCTAAGAATTGACATAAGCACAAATATTGTTTCCTTGAAGAGCATACAAAATTCATTTAGTCCGAAATAAACTTGATACAGGACTTGGTTAAATTATATCAGTTTTATCTTATTGGTCTCTCAAATAGGCTAATAGCTCAAACTTTTTATCTTATTTCTCTCTTCACATGGTGGGTGCATCTGTTCAGTTGCAATCCTTATCCTACACTATAGATGACACTGGAGATGACGCTATGGATGACATAGCTATACCTATACCTGTACCTATACCTACGTAATGTTTTGTCTTGAGGCTTAACAAATTTTGTAGTGCGGAAGTTGTATAAAATTTACATTGATACTAATATCGGCGATACTATCAAGGAGCTCCATTGTTAAAAGTTCATTATCAACCATGAGAATTGGCCACACAGTAACTCAGTTCACCAAGTGGCTGCAAGGCATAATTTAATCCTCTCCAAAGCTATGTATACTTTCAATGCTAGTTAGAACTTTAACCAGCCTTTCCTCGAGGAAGGAGTAAAAAGGCCATTAACTCGAGCCCTTGTAAGGTCGTACCGATCAAAAGGCTAGCTCACTGGATGCTAGTAAATGGTTTACAGGAATGTTATGGGGGCAAAATCCTCATTTCTAATAAAAGATCAAAGGTGCCATTCACCAGCATGCAGTAATTGGTTCTCTTTCACAGAAACGATGGATCTCTGAGGACATATAAATAGATATGTATTATGGAAACAGAAAAACAATGCTCTTTAGGATCAACTAAATCATACTTTCCAAGGTTAAGGAGTTAAATTTCTTCTTTTACGACAAAGATTGTGAAAAAATTTCTAGGCACAATGGGGGTTTCTTTTTTGATTCCCAACAGAAAATATGCAAGCAATTTGATCATATTTGGAGAATACCTGTTGACTGCCCTTTATGATTCCCTCCATGGAGTTGATAAGTTTCATGCGACCGTCAGTGCTATTGATTGCTTCTTGAAACTATGCAAAGTTTACAAGCAAAACAAGTTGGTATTAATGAGAAAATATACTAACAGCCAGGACTTGAAATCCCTCCTGCATAAATCAAAATTTCCCAAAGAAAAACGATGCAGCAATAACCATAAAAAGGTTGCGTAAACTACATCTACTAAGAAACATAAGAGTACTGATGGAAAAATTCATAGCCGTAGCATACCTGTGAACTTATTGAATTCAACAATGATGTTTCCTTCAGCATATATTCCTTGATCTCCAAAAGTGCATTGTAAGTGGCATAGTATTTCCGAGTTTGTTGAAGTTTTCCCTGAATTTGAGCATTCAATTCTGACAACCGGCATTCATACCTGCAGAGTGCAGACCCAAGATTGAGTCAGTCAGCGTTATTCTTACGGCCTGTTTGGAAATGCTTCGCAGGAATGTACTTCAGCTTATAAGCGCTTTTACAGGAACCACTTCTATTAGAAGCACATCGAAGTTCTATAAAAATCCGATTGTTTCCTGAAAAAAGCACTTGAAGCACTTTCAGAACGTTCCCAAAAGTGCTTTTGGATATCTAAAAATGCTTTTAGCTATTCTAAAAGCACTTCCAAACATGTCTTATTCTATCCTAAACACAGACACAATAATCAAAGACAATATATGCCCTGAACTTCAATTCTCATACTTTTACCAATTCACCAAAATTCTTCAAATTTGTTTTTCGGTGATTCACCAACTGAAACCAAAAACCATAAAATCTTAAAATTCTTATAAACTGAGCAAGAATGAACGCATACTGGACGAGCTCAGATTGCGAAGGAACATCATCAATCTGGCGCTGTACTGCCAACACTGCCCTTAGTTTAGCTGCAAGTTCCTACACATTAATACTTTCATCACTAAAAAGGATAAAACTTAATAAATCACCACTATTTTGCAGCAAATGATCACAGCTTCCTAGCGTTGCGAGCAACAGCAACAGAAAATTACCCTTTTCGCCGAACCGATTTTCGCCTCCGATTCACTCAACAAACGATCCAGTTCATCAGGAACATCCTCACTATCAAACCCATTTTCTATTTGGTCCTCCAATCTACGAACTTCGGCTTCCAATACGGAATTGCTAAGAGACTGGACTTCAAGCTCTTGCCTTTCCAACTCCTGCAATAACAGTATCGAATTACAATCAATACCCATCACCCGAAAACGACGACGCTTCGAGGGTAAACAGAGATTTGAGGAAAACATTGAACCTTCAGTGACTGCTTGAGCGATACCAATTTTTCAACCGCAGTTTCAGCGCCTCCCTTTTCGATTTTTTCCCTCAAACTTTGCAATTCGTTCGTGAAACTTACCTTCTTCTGAATCTGAAATTAATATAAATTTGAAAAAAAAAATCCCACAATTTTAGTAAAAACGAATTTTGATTTGCCGTGAAAAATGAGAAGAAACCATTTTTTTCACTGACCAATTTGTTGAGATTGTCTTTTGACATTATCGACCTTACGAATTGTTTAGTTTCGCTGCAAAACAACAGAAGTTCCTGGAAACGACGGCGTTTCCTTCTGGTGCGTAGGGGCTTCGTTGCGAACAAAGGTGGATTGGGAGGTGGAGGGAGTTGACAGTTGAGGCGGCGAGGCCGGTAGGCGAACGAACTTTCATTGTTTTGGGTTCGTTCTAAACGACGAACCGTTTTGTGGGCTTAAAATTTGGGCCTAAACTATCTCCAATCTTTGAGTTAGAACCTAAAATTTTTAACTCAGAAAATTTAGGTTTTAACCCAAAAATAATTTTTTTGCTTCAACTTTTTTGGGTTAAAATTTTAGCTCAGATTATTAAAGAATGAACTTATGCTAATTTTTTTCTTCTTAAAAGTAACTTTTTTAAAAGACAAAATTATGTAGACTATCATAATTTAATTTTATGAACATTTTAATCTAAAAATATTTAGATTCCAACAAATATTGAAAAATCACTAACCGACACTATGAAACTCATGAAACACTATGAAAGAATATGAAACACATAAAATAATTTTTTTAATTACTTTAGCCGTTGAATTTAAATTTGGACCATTAGATTTTTTTTTTTTTTTTTACTGTTGGATTTAATCAAATTAGATCTTAACTGTTAGATTCAATGAATTTATAAATAAAAAAATATACATATATGGTGGATCAGCCTCGCTAAACCAGGGGGAATCCTGAGCTAAATTTGGCTCAAAAATGAGTTTTGAGTTTTAACTCATATTTGCCCCAAGGGTTGAAGCAAGTTGGGGTAAATTTAGAACCTAAAATTTGAGTTTTACTACCAGGGTTGGAGTAGGTCTTATGGGTTTAGAGTATTGTTTGGTCGCGTTTTCTAAGGTGCTGGCAGCATTTTGCAGACCTTAGGTGCGAACGGAACGTGGTCCATTGAATCAAATCTAAACAACTGAAAAACAATTTATCAAAATGAGATTACTATGAAATCGGGTCATCGATGACCCCTCACTAAATGAAAACGGTACCTGGCAAAATTTCAAAATTTTTGGAACTTAAAATCTCCCCTCCTTGTTATCAACAACAACCTACTTAAATTTGTCTTCTCCTTCCAAAACTCTTCATCTCCCGCGTTTGTTCAAGCATCATTGTCGTCGAAAACATCCTTATTGTTTGAAAACCTGTCCAAACCCAGTGGTAGTTGTGTTATGCTTATCTTCTCCAGCTTCACTGCAATTTCAAACATCATTTACGAAAATCAGGGAAGTTTGGTTGAGGGTTGTGCAGTTGGTTCCATTGAAAAGACATACTTTTCACTTCATTTGAGTTGGGTTCTGAGTCCTTGCACCATCACCGATGTCATATTTGATTCTTCCCATTCAATTCCAAATTTGGTGAGTTTTGAAAATGGAACCTTAAAGTTAATTTTGTACTTTTTGTTAATTATGATAAATTAAGTTAGTTTTAAGGTTAATTATGCATGTTCGTTATATAATTAGTTGAAATTGGTGGATATATGTGAAATTATTGAGAAGGGTGCGTTGTGAAGTTATGAAGCTATGTTGACGGGTTGTGTAGAGGCTAGGTCGTTAACTGTTGTTTTGGTAAAGTTATAGTTTTGGGTTAGGATTGATTTTTGTTCTTAAAATATTGTTAATTTTATGACGGGAGTTGATATTGATTAAGTAATGTTGATCTGTTGACAAAAGATATATAGCTATGAAACTTTGTTGATGTGTTGTTGCAAGTTTGTGTTTTGTTGAATTTATGTGTTTGTATTGTTATATGTATAGGATATGGCAACCAATAGTATTCAACGAGCAACCAAGAAAGAAGATGTGTATAGGCAAACGGTTAACAACATATCCCAAGCCCCCCATGTGCTAGGATTGATTAGGGAGAAGCTTAAAGAGGCACATCTTGGTGCCTTTAGGGCCACTTTCTTTGGCCACCTCGAGCGTGCTAATCAATTGGCCTTTAGTGAGCAATTGGTCCATGAGTTGTCATTGCATAGAGCGGCAAACCAAAGGGTTAAAGGCCTTGAGGGGCTGACTAATTTAATAGGTTGAGGGAATATTTTCTCTAGAATTAGGGTTAGCAAGTGAAAGTAACAAGAGGAGGAATGAAAAGGGCAAAGGTAAAGCCAAGGCCGTCCTGAAGAAAGTCACAATATATATATATATATATATATATATGACTTGTGGTGCTTGAAAGGGCGTTTAAGGAGTGCAAGAACAAGGAGGATGTTTTTAAGCTAGGCTTGGTATACTTTGCGAGGCTGTATTGATTGGGGCAAAGACCAATGTCATTGTGAATCTAGAGTACCTTTACCGCGTAGAAGATATGGATAGGTTCAATAGCTTTGCATGGGATTCCATCTCATTTGAACAACTTCATGACAGCCTCTCGTTTGCTACTTTGAGGAAAGGTAGAGGTAGAGTTGAAGGAGATGGTGAGGGAGATAAGAAGGAAGAAGAAGAAGTTAAGGGAACCAAAAGGAGGCAGCGGTCCGGATGGGGCTGCAAAGGATTTTCATATGATTTTTAGGTAATATGTGTTGCTTTCGTTGGTAATGTTGACTTTATTTCTGTGGTGGAGTAATAATTTATTGAGCAATACATGCAGGTGTGGGCATGTGAAAAAATTCCCCAACTTGAGAAGCCCTTATGTTACTGCAAGATCTTAGATCTGAAAGCTACATCGAGAATTCTGCGATGCAAGACAACAAAGAAGTAACTGATCCACGAGTAGCTGCAGTTGTATGTAGCCGAGAGCCAAGAGGTATAACTGTATTGCAAACCTTTTGAAATTTATGGATGAAAGTGAATGTCTATGAATGTTGTATGTGACAAATGTATTTCTGATGCATGGCTTTAAATAGAGTGTTCCGATTGAAGAGAAAAGGAACAAAGTGTACTAAATGTAGGCGATGATGATGATATTGTGATTCTTGACAACCTCACTCCCGACATAAATGATGTCAGTGAGTTGAAATTGAAAATCAAAGAAGGTGTCATTAGCGCGATTGGCCCATGAGGAGGAGATTTCAGAGAGGATGGTGCTGAAGAAAGTGGAACAGATGTCCAAGGTGGTAAAGGAATTAAGGAGGGATGTGAAGGAAAAACATGCAGAGGAGAAGACGAGTAAGAAGAAAAAGAAAAAGACGTGGGAAAAGAAGAAGAAAATGAAGAGGGAAAAGAAGAAAAATAAGAAGATAAAGAAGAGGTGAAAAAAGAAGAGGGTGGTGAAATTGGCGGTGACGTAGAAACTGTTGTGGAAGAAGAAGAAGAAGAAGAAGAAGATAAATCAAAAGAAGAGGAGGAAGAAGAAAAGGGTGGTGAAAATGAGGTTGATGAAAAAAATGGTTTGGAGGGAGGGGAGGAAAAACCAGTGGGCGAAGATGGGAATGAGGATGAGGAAATAAGGGCTGAAGGCAAGAGGGGAGAGGGGGTGGGGTGAGGGTGAGGGACCCAGAGGGAATGAGGTAATGAGAGTTATGGATGACGAGGGCTGGAGGGTGTTTGTAGGGATTGTTGAATGGAGCAGTCCCTTAGATGTATGCCGCGAAGATGGTTCGAAGTGTAGTCGATGAGTATGAAGATTTGAAGAGTTCGGATGATGACAATGAGGAGGTGATATACACACTTAAGGGCGAGTAGGTGGGGACCAAGAGGAAGGTCCCCTCCACAAGGGCGACGTCAAAATTTGTGCGAACCAAAATGGGGCAGTAAAAGAAGATGAAAGTGGTTTGCTAGATGCCTTTATTGTTTGACGTCGCAAAGTGCCAAAAAATATATGTCGGTGAACCCAAGCAGGATGTTGTGCAACGAGAAGCATTAATTAAAGCCAAAGATAGAAACTGCGTGGTTGAGGTGATGGAATATTTCTATCACTTCAATAAATTGAAGGAGAAGGCAAAGAAGTAAGTTACTCTTTAACATTTGGATTTTATGGATGCATGAAAAAATTGATTAATGACTAGATGAGGTCAACTGTTTTTTTTGTTACATTGTTAGTCCGGTTGCCCAATTGGAGATACTAATTTCTAACGGCAGCTTCTGGACCAAAAAGAGTGGTTGTCAACGGATGTAAGTGGCTAAACTCTATTTGTTATGGAGTGGTATAAATGTGTTGAGATTGTGTTGGCGTGAAATGAATAAAATTTTGTATATCATAGTACATTCACTTGCATCTCTATCTCTTGCTGAAGCATCATGATGAGGCACGGAGGATATGCAAGTGTTGACCATCAACAGAACAGACTGATTTCTGGTACACATCCTACTTAATTTCTCCTAAAATTGAAAAGTTTGGCAATATTGTGATGTTGAGTGTGTCTTCGTACATGAAGTGTCGTACATGTTTTTTGATAAATTAACACTTGTGGATAGTCGTACTATGAACGTTGCCATGCTGAGAGGACAATTGAAATGAAAACTAAAGGCCGGAAAGGGATTGCATCCAAACAGTTTGAGCCGGTGCCGGTGAAAACAATGACGGGGAAGGGGTGGAGTTTGGTAGATCATGGGTGGAGGATGTGGATAGGGTGTACATGACCCCTCCTGAACCTTGATCACCATTAGGTTGCCATAAAGTTGAATCTTAAAGGTGGGAGAATAAATGTGTATGACTCTATGAAGATTGCAACCCACTCGCGGCAAGCTTGTGTGAAATTGGCTCCCATCGCTCATGTGTTGCCGGTGTCCTCCTAAGCCTTTACAACAATTAATGTAAGCTATACAAGGCTATAAGTTAAAAGAGTACCAAAACCTAATTATAACAAAGCCCAATCGGGTTGTGCTCACTTTAACATTTTCCTGAAATATCTTACTCATTGCAAGCGGCTTATAGCTCAAGTGATTAAAAATGTTTACTCTTACACTCGAAGTGTTGTTATTGTATTCACCGTCCTACCCTCCCCAATATTGTTCCAATTATACTTCGACTACTTAATTTTAGCAAGCCGAACCGAACTGCTAACTAGTCTTACGTTACTGAATAAGTTGAGTGTTGGAATTTTATAGTGGCACATTCACAACGAGTTTAGGTTACTTAGCTAGCCGAAACAGCGTAATTGTATGATCTTGTAAGTTTACAATTGTATCCTAACTGCTAATTGCTGATGCCAATTTTAATTATATATTCCATGGTGCCTATTCCAATGCGAAATTGCACCAGTACCAATG